AAAAGTACTCAATTACAGTAACACGAGTAAATGTAATTCGTTACTTTCCACCCCTGCTTTTTACTTACTGTATACTTTTCACTACATTACTTGATTACATCTATTTTTACAGTAATTCTTATACTTAAGTACAAGTCATTTCAGATACTTTAAGACTTTTACTCAAGTAACATTTCAGTCAGTGACTTGGACCTCTCCAAAAAGTCATATTTTGGAGAGGTACTTATACTTTTACCTGACTCCGAGAATTCAGTACTTTATGTATGTATATATATATATATATATATATATATATAATTTCATTTTGTCAAATGTTGCTATTTTATTTGCAATTTTTTCTTAAAATTAAAATATTATCTAAAACAACATTTTTAAGAATATGTAAAAACCTCCTCCTTTCTTCTCCCAGTAAAACCAGGTTCCGTTGGTTCCAGGAAAGCAGCGTTTACCGAGATGCACCCCCATTTGCTTTGGATGGAGTCTACATTTCGGAGCCCTGCCCCAACCACTGCGGGGGACATGGAGACTGCATCTCTGGCGTCTGCTTCTGCGATATGGGTTACACAGGTGAGAGCAGCATGTAAAAATAAGTTGCTATATCTGCTATAACATTTCATGTTTTACTCACTTTAATCAATGATTCCTGTTTATTTTTCATAGTGGAGCAAGATAGTTGTGTCCCGTCTGTAGTCAGTCCCACAGAGCTGACGGAGGGCTTTGAGGGGAAGCTGAGTCCTCTCTGGCAGAGCATAAGCGGGGGGCAAATCGGGGGCGGCTGTGGCATCATTAGCGAGGGAAAAGCTCTCTACTTCAGCAGTGCTGGAAGGAGGGAGGCACGAACAGACCCTCTAGACACCACCAACACACGGTGAGAGGAAAGGAAAACTAAAATAATCGGTTTTAAAGGATAATCTTTATATTGTGAAATATTAAATCTAGTTTTATTGTTGTTTGTTCGTAGGTTGGCTCAGTTCTACATCCGAATCGGCAGCAAAAGTTTAGGACCCACCTGCACCAGGCCACGCTCCCGCAATGAAGGTTGGTTTCAAAATTAGACCTTTTGAGTATCAGTCCTCTACTGCCTACCTTACAGTTCCGAAAAAGAAGGATAGATATCAAAAAGATAGTACCAATCAAAATAACTATTCATAAAAGGGAAATTCATGGATTAAGGAGTTAAAATATGCATTTGAAATAAATATATATCGGTAGAAAGAGCAGTTCATTAAAAACATATGAAC